TCAGTTTGTTACCTGTATGAAAGACATCTGGTAGCCAGAAATCCTGCTGAATGATAGGGATCAAATACTTATTTCCCACATGAACATGCAAATCAGTGCATCATTTGTTAGACATGCATTTCTTTTGAATTTTTTGTTGTTATTCTGTCTCTCAGTGTTACAATACACCTACCATTCGATTTTTAGACTGATCATGTCTTTGTGAGTGGGCAAACATTCAAAATCAGCAGGGGATCAAATACTTATTTCCTTCAGTGTGTATATACATATATTATATATATATATATATATATATATATATATATATATATATATACATACACACACATACATACACACATACATACACATATACACACACACAAGCAATATAAACCCATTCTCTATTTTTTGTAAATATTCCAGGTAAATAACTACAAATAAAATGTTATTTATTCCATTTTGTTCCTAGAAGTAACCATGACATCAATATAAATAGTTCTGCCTGGAACCTTTCATATACACAGTTCTCTCGGGACATTTGTTTTCATGCCTCGAGTACTCTGTAATGAGATATTTTCAGCTGCAATATCATACACCCAGGCTAAATAGGACAAAGGGAGGAGACGGCCTTAATGTTAGTCCTGGAGAAAGCTCTCTGCTACAGCATAATAAAAATGTTTCCTGGCCTCCAGATGTAGCCAGTATGAAAATATATCTTCCAGGCTTTTCAAAGTGTTCCTAGGTAATTTATGTCCGTGAAGGCTAGATGACTCACCTTATGACATTCTAAACACAACTTTTAGACTGAAAGCTTTATTTTACCACTGAGGAAAACATGTGTGGTCTATTTTAGCAATATGATATACAAGTATATTAAGAGATTCTGATATTGCTGAGAAGTGGAACAAATAAATACGACTGTTAGGCCAATGCTTTCCATTCTGTCTATACAGAAATCATGCTCCTGACCCAGCCATATAAATTAAGCCAAACACCAAGCAAATCGTTTTTTCTAGTTTTGGACAGAGTGGAGAAGGATTAGATCTTCTGTCAGGTTTTTATGACTATCTGATGCTCCATTAAAGAGATTTACCTTCACTTCCTGTTCTGCTCACAACAATTTCACTAGACAGGAAGTGAGGGAAAATCTGATACAAGGATATAGCAATAAAAAATTGACAGGGGTTCTATCATTCCTCTACAATAATAAAAGGAAGACATTTTTATTTCTGTTACTGTTGGTTAGTTTCCTTTCATCTTCCTTGGTACAACAGGATGTAAGCATAAATCTCTAACAAATAGGTTCCAAGGTGTGCTGGAGACATATTTTTTCTATCTTCTCTTCCCACTTCAGTCCAGTGAATCAAGGGTGACTTCACCCTTGGTCACATCCCCTTCTGATGGTCTGATGCTGAGCGTGTGGTGGCAGGTATGATGAGGGGGAGCAGGTCTGCTCTGCCTAGTTGATCATGGCACTGCCAGCCAACCTTATCAACTTAGACTGCTCCATCTTGGACAAGGCACTGCTAGTGGCCAACCACATGAAGATCTGGGGGTGCAGGTACCAGTTTGGAGTATTAGAGCACAGACTGCTCAGGGGTGACTGGCGAACCAATCACCTGCACATAAGAACATTAAACTTCTAAATTAACACAGAAAACACATACCTGCTGCATGTAGGTGGGTATAGAATTCCCAGTAAAATCTTGTCTGCATGATACTGTTATTATGGCATCTTCGGCACTGTGAGCAGTACATTTATAAGCAAAGTATGTTTACTCTGCTGATAGGAATCTGACACTGGAAAATCTCCCAGCATGTACAAGTTCCCGAATAAAAAAGGAAACCACACCCTCTCTATATTTGTTTTTTTGCTCCAAGGTTCACATAGGAATTTTGACAAGTATCACAATCTGCATCACATAACAGAAAGCAGTACTTGGTAGTGATAACAAAAAGTCACATCAGACAGGACTATTTCCCAGGACTGCAACTCTAAAAGAAAAAACAGACTACAGCAAGAGAGGGACAACCTTCTAAGAAGAAATACTCAGGAAACACTGAACCAACTAGGGTTCAGAATCCCCAGATGGAGAGTCCTCCATACTTTACTCCTCTATCACAAAAGAGAAGACAAGAAAGAGAACATGTCTGCACTTCTTTCTGGCTTGCCCCATGAAAGCAAACATCCTGCTGAGTTTATTCTCTTTAACTCATTAAAGTGCCCTTCCCAGCTGTGCTCCCACCTCTCTGATCTTTTGGAAGACATTAAGCTTGCTGAACAAAATTGACAGGACCTGTGCCTGGACGAGTCAGTCCCAATCGGCTGAGAGGATATTTGTGAAATAACAGACAAGGTGTGCAGTTACTCAAAGGGGACTCACTTGGCTGCCAGTGCCCTTCCAACAGATGTATTCATATGACCCAAGTGCTACAGAGCCTGCCCTGCACCCCAATGATGGTGGTCACCGAAAACAGTGTCCTGCATTGCTGCTTAAAGTGCTGCCTGCTGAGACGCTGCTACTTCCGCCCGTATTTGCTACTGTATGCCGGCTTCATGCAGAATACCCAACCAATATAGCTGCTGACTCCACCCCATGTGCACGCCCTTGCCAACATGACCATGAACATGAACATGAACACCCGCCTGCCATTTAATGTAATTGAGCAGAAGGCATGATAAAATCCAAATAGCAGTCCCTGCAGAAGGTATAGTGAACATCCAGCTCAAGCAAAGCAATGGCTCAGGCATATCTCAGCCCTTGGTATACCCCCCCCCCCCCCCCCATGTGGGGGAACAAGAAAGGACATTCTAAACATAACAGGTAGCATAAAACAAGGTGACAGCACCACCAGGCTACAAAGGGACACTCAACAATCTCGCTGAAGGATCCTCCCATGAACGGTCAAGGATCCAATCTTCACCCATCATAGTGGTCCATGTCACTCAGGACTTTCAGGGACCCAATTTCCCTTTTTTAGTTTCCACTGCTCTGCACCTATATAGCACCCTATAGGAAAAACTTTAGTCAGGTATTACTGCGCAGGTTTCTGTGTAGGTCCAGTGCCAAACGGTCGCATTACAGGCAATCCCTTCATGTCATACTGTTCCATCGCAGCAGGGCCTGGGTACCATTCATCTGAGCATTACAGCTGTCGGAATGAATCCGCATAGCACAAATTTCCTGATCCCTACTGGAATCGTGTGCTAATCTGGCAATATCAGTGACCTATACCTTCAGACACAGGCGAAAAAACTGAGGCACTTCCTGTATGGGAGGGGATATATAGGGGAGGACTTCCTGTCTTTTTTTTTTGCGAGTGTCCAATCACCTGTAGGTGACACATAACCTAGGAATAAAGAATAATATGGTAGCTTAGTGTCCCATGAATAACAATAGAGAAATAGCTTGTCACTGGGTAGGCAGAGCCTGCTGGGGAACTGAAAGACTAGCTTCTCCATCAGATCCACTTTACTTTTGTTCGACAGCGCATAGAAGTGTGCAAATTCAAAAGCCGCTAATGGAGTTAATAGCAGCTATGAATCCGCCCTCTGCTGTGAACTGTAAATCAACAGATAGGCAAACCTAATGGGGAACTAGTCTCTCAATTCCATAAAAGGCTCCATCCAGCTCCAGTGTGACAGGCGTAGTGACTGGGAAGGGAGCATAATGAGTATGGCACTGAAATTCATGTACCTATCTCTGACAGGTACATGAATGAAGCAAAGCTCCAATATTTTTGGTGCTGTGCCCCAGCAGAATTCTTACAGTAGTCTACCACATTATGAATTCCTCAGATCGAGTGGAATTCTCTTTTTTTTCCTTTTACAAACTAGTACACAATAGAAAAATGAAGAGAGGAGAAATGAACAGGTATAAGGAAAGATGAAGGTGGACCGGAGGAGAGAGAGGGCATACACTGCATGGGACCAGCGAGGTGGTCATTGGTTATACACTTAAAAGGGCTGGTAATGTATAAATAAATTAAATACATCATGATTTATGACTTTTATATAGTTGTGTACTACCAAACACGATTTTTAACAATGAAAGTTGAATCTGGCGTTAGGCAGGTGTTGAATCTGGTACCATTAAAGTCTCGATCTATGGGGTTTTTTTTAGGGGGGGACTTCGTATTAGAAAAAAAAATGCTAATAAATTTCTGTTCAACAGCCAAACTTAAGTATAGGTCCTCTTCCATACTCTAGCAAGACATAAAGGATATGTAAACAAACTAAGCAGGCTCATTAACCCCTGTATGGCCACCCAAAGCATATTTGCGGTGGCAAAATCATGGACTTTAACCCCCACACGCCACATATATGCTTTTCTGAGCGGCTAATGTTTATGTGCCGAGAGCGCACTCACTGTGCGCCCTCAGCGCAAAGACCAAGCTTTCACAAACATCTCTAGGTTTGGACTAAAGGTCAATAGCTGGAGGGACTGACTTCCGATCATTTGACCACTGTAACAGGGGTCACGTGACTACCAATCCTTCCCGCCCCTGGGTGTTCAGAACAGTTTAAAGGGACACCAAGGTAGGCAGAAAAGGGTTAAACCAGTGAAAGCATTTTGTTGTATCTGTTGAACTTATCAGAAATCAGCTGTTGAGTTTACATGATCTCTGTTTCTGCTGAGTATTATCAATTGCTATTGTTCCCAGCTCTGAGGACTATAAAAGACTGTCCTTTTTTACTGAGACGCAGAAACGGGGAGATTACTGTAGTCCTGTTTTCATTGTCCTGATATAGTAGGGTGAGTGAGTGTTGTCATCCTAGGACAGGAAGGGTGTTACTGACAGGACGGAAGAATCACCAGGTAAAAATGAAGGTTAAAAACCCTTGGATAAAGAAAACGAATGCAGCCACCACATCAAAGAATGGGTAAGCTTCCATTTTTGTTCAACATTTAGATACACTTACAAAAAACAATGTAAATATTTTAAACCATTACCAACAAAGGAAAGCCATCCGTGAATATTCGGTAAATGTTGAAGGATACCGTAGGTAACCCTTGTTAAATACTTACACTGTGTACTCCAAGTACTTTCCACACAGTAAAACTGAGAAGTCCCACTCCACACCAGGCATACAGCGAACCCCAACCTAAAGCTCTCAAGGCAAGAGATGCACCACTTTCTGGCAAGGAAGCTGTGGCAGTGGCACCCTAAAAAACAAACACATTAACCCAAACCATTAATATATATAATATTGAACTTTCGTTCACATGTAAAGATAAGCCCAATCCTAGGCAAATATTTGTAAGCTGAGTTAGATTGGACATTTAAAGAAAGTCTGTTTCCTTCCCTATGTAGTCACCAGTATTACTGCATACAGTACATTCTTGTGATCTACCCAATTACCATAAAGTGACCAGTTTGACCGTGAAAGGGTTCTATTGCCTGTGGGGCATTAAAGCTTCTAAAACAGAAAAAGCAGGACCAGATAAAGAAGGGTGGTGCGGTGGCACAGGAGCCAGACGTCATGAGCAGCTATCAACATTCAGACGCACTTAGCACTACTGTACAATCCAAGGGCATATGGCAGGTTCACTTGAAAGGATAATCTACTTACTAAAGTATCTATTCTGAGCATTTATGTAATGAACGATACTTCACTAAAATGCAGCTCTCCAGAGATCATCATTGTACATCTGTTATACAGTTTTTGTATGATATTGCCATTGTGTATCTGTTTTTCTGGTTTTATTTCTCAGGGTATTTGTTTAATTATTTTTGTTCATGTTACAATCTGTTGCATTCATTGTCATTTTAACTGAATATGTCCAATCAGTCTGCGCTCAATAGTTTTCAGAACGCTGGTTCGATTTTCACATTGATGTTTGTTTTCTACCATAGGTAGTCTAAACAGGAGCAGAATGAAAACATTTTCTCAATAGAACAAAATTCTAACTTCAAATGTGGTTTTTGTTCAGGAAAAATTGTACATATTGTATTAAAATCTGATCAATATGTCTGGGATTACATCCAAATAGCAGATCTGGATGACATTTTAAAGTGATTATAAAGCCTTAACATTTTTTATCTTAATGCATTCCTTGCGTTAAAGTAAAAAGAATTTTAGGTAGTAGTATCTTCCCTCACCGCCCCCCCTTCCTTACACTTACCTGAGCACTCATTCAATCCAGTGCTGTCCCTACCTGCAGCGACTCTCTACCCCTTACTTCCTGGTCCCACTGGCTTTGCAGAGGCTGCGGTAGACAATAACTCCCGCTGCTGTCAACCTAAGCCAGTGACAAGTGACCAGGGAATCCAGCAGTCAGTCTCTATAGACGCAGGCAGCAGGGCTAGAAAGCTAGTCCACACAAGTGGCCCCATAAGAAGCAGCTTCCTGTGGGGGGCACTCACCGGAGGGACATTCTGTACAATTTCATTGCACAGAGGAGGCAAGTATAAACCTGTTTGTAAATACAATTTTTGTTTTTTTATCTCTAATGTTTCACCCTCTTCATGACCAGGCCAGTTTTTGCTATACGTTGCTGCACTACTTTAACTGGCAATTGTGCAGCATGCAACACTGTACCCAAATTAATTTTATATTTTTTTTCCACACAAATAGAGCTTTCTTTTGGTGGTATTTGATATACAAATGAAAAAATTCTGAAAATTGTGAAAAAAAAATATTTTTTACTTTCTGCTATAAAATGGGTGCAATTAAAAAAAAAATGAATTAAATTTGTTCATAAATCTAGGCCAAATATATATTCTGCTACATGTCTTTGGTAAAAAAAAAAAAAAAAAAAACAACGTGTATATTCATTGGATAGCATAATCATTATAGCTTCTACAGACGATGGTATATATACTGTACTTTTTATTTATTTTTTATGCTAGTAATGGTGGCAATTAGCCACTTATAGTGGGACTGTTATAGTGCGGAGGGCAATCTGACACTAACTGACGCTAAGTGGGAACGGACAAAATGACACTGACATCTCCAGTGACACTAATGCAGTGATCTGTGCTAATAATATACACTGTCATTGTACTAATGACACTGGCTAGTAACATTTAGGGGCAATCAAAAGGTTAAATGTGCGTCTGTTTACTTTGTGTACTGTGTGTTGTTTATACTAAGCAATGTGCCAGTTTTTACTCCCTGCTTTGCAGGGAGAAAAAAAACGCACATCGCTGCTGTATGTAGGGAGCTCTGTGCTTACCAACACAGGGCTCTCTTCTGTTATTTGCTCTGCTGATCAGTGGGTTCTGGCCATATATCATTGGCCTGAGACACACTGACCGGCATGTCCTGTGGGAAATGATAGCACAGCGTGGGTGGTGGGCGTGCATGCACTACCTGGAAAAGAGCCAGATCACATAAAGGTAAATGATCCCGACAGAGGGACAGGAGGTCAAGAACTGGTTAAAAAACAATCACCTAAGGGTATTCGAACAAAATTAGTTGACAAATGGGGGTTTATTTACTAAAGCTGGAGAGTCCAAAATCAGACTCCCTTCTGCATAGAAACCAATCAGCTTCCAGGTTTCATTGCCAAAGCTTCATTGAACAAGCTGAGGTTAGAAGCTGATTGGTTTCTATGCAGAAGGGAGTCTGATTTTGGACTCTCCAGCTTTAGTAAATAAACCCCTCGATGTCAAGAGAGAATATACTGACAAGAATTTTCGTATGATCATTCGTAGGAAATTCTGCTGGTGTATGGTCAGCTTTAATGTCCAACTCCTATAAGCAAATCAGTCAGGTTTTTACAGCATTGCATTGTAAAGTTTTAATTTATTTTTCCCAAAGACAGCTATCTTTAAACAAATTCTCAGAAAAAGAAAATCACTGAATCCCATGAAACCATAGTTTATCTGGAGATGCATAAAAAAAATCCTTAGAAAAGAAAATTCCTGTCTGGACCCTAGAGGCAAATTACTGCCATAAACAACATTTTACTGTATTTCTAGAATTGAATGCATTCCTTTACATGCTGTTCTTTTAGGAGATCATCCAACCATTTTTGTAAGAATCTACCGTATCAGCTACAATCAGTTCCTGGCTGCGACCCATTTTCACAGCTGTTACTTTAAAGAAAACTCGCAGCTTGAAGATCAAAACCTCTTTTTTCCAGTAGCAAGGGAGCCATTTGTATTTCGTGGCTTTAGGGTCTGTTCAAGTAACAGGTTTGTGGCACATTGTGCTGCATTTTTCAGTGGAGGCAAAATACATCAACATTAGAAATCTATTGTTTTTGGAAGGATCAGTCTGCGCATTCTAATTTTTTGTGCATTGATCTGAATTTTTCCAGGCATATCAAATAGGGAAAATTATGTCTCTCTCGCACGCATTCTCAAATCTATGCCTCTTAAAGGGTTATTTCACCTTTCCAGATATTATGTAACACTGTACACCCTCCCCACTCTATCCCATCCCCAATTTCTGCTGGACTTACTACTGTAGGTGTTGAGCTGTCAGTACCCATGCAGCCAGTGCAGCGGTCAGGGTATTTAACTGGTTCCTGTCTGGCCTATTGTACAATGACTGCCGGGCAGGACCTCTCTCGTTCTGGGAAGACGTCATATGAAGTCCTCCCATTCTTGGCACACAGCACAGTGGGACACAGCACATCATTGATCAGGGTAAAGAGCCAATGATGTTGGCTCTTTACCATGTGATCAGCTGTGTCCAATCACAGCTGATCACATGTAAACAAATGTGAGTTATCGGCATTTGTTTTCCTCAGCACTGTCACTGTCTAAGGAAAGGAATGCTGATAACTGGCTTTCCTGTGACAGGGGACATTTGCATTGATAATCAGGGCACTGATGATCAGTGCCCCGATTATCAGTGCAACATATTAGCACCCATCAGTGCAGCATATCAGTGCCCATCAGTGCAGCCCCATCAATGCAGCATATCAGTGTAGCCTCGTCAGCGCGCAGCAGTCCAGCCTCGTCAGCGCGCAGCAGTCCAGCCTCGTCAGCGCGCAGCAGCAGTCCAGCCTCGTCAGCGCGCAGCAGTCCAGCCTCGTCAGCGCGCAGCAGTCCAGCCTCGTCAGCGCGCAGCAGTCCAGCCTCGTCAGCGCGCAGCAGTCCAGCCTCGTCAGCGCGCAGCAGTCCAGCCTCGTCAGCGCGCAGCAGTCCAGCCTCGTCAGCACGCAGCAGTCCAGCCTCGTCAGCACGCAGCAGTCCAGCCTCGTCAGCACGCAGCAGTCCAGCCTCGTCAGCACGCAGCAGTCCAGCCTCGTCAGCGCACATCAGTGAAGAAGAAAAATTAATAGAAACAAGAAAAAGGTGGGGGGGGTGTTTTCAAAATTATCTATGTTTATTTAGCAAAAAAATAAACACTCCAGTGGTGATTAAATACCACCAAAAGAAAGCTCTATTGGTCTCAAAAAAATTATAAAAATTTAATTTGGGTACAGTGTTGCATGACCGAGCAACTGTCTTTCAAATCATGACAGCACTGAAAACTGGCCTAGGCAGGAAAGGGGTGAGAGTGATTAAAGTGGTTGTAAAGCTCAGACATGAAATATGAACAAAGCGTATCCCTCTATAGTGTGTACTTGTCTCAGCCCATAGCTTTAAGTGTAATTTCTGTCTGCTGCATCATTCCTCTTCTATCAGCATGAATTACTTCTAACAAGTTTTCCTGACACCAAGAGAAAAAAAAATGGTGACAGGGGAGGGACCTCCAGCAGATTGAGAAGGGAAGACTGCATATAGACAGGTACAACTTATGCAAGAGGATTTGTTTACAGCACTGACTGATCAGAATTGCTCTGATCCGTCTCAGAAGCTCTGCAGAAAGAAGGTGCTTTCAGGGGGGGGGTAGGGGGGGTGGAGAGGATGTACAGTGTTAGTTTACCTTTCCATTTTTTCTTTGGTGAACTAACCCTTTAATACAAGAAAGTGTCTTGCTAGCTTTAACCACTTCCTGTCCGGACACTTTTACCCCCTTCCTGTCCAGGCCAATTTTCAGCTTTCAGCTTACAACACTGTATCTAAATGAAATTATTATAATTTTTTTCAAAGAAATAGAGCTTTAATTTGGTGGTATTTAATCATCACTGGGGTTTTTATTTTTTGCTAGAAAAATGAAAAAAGACTGAAAATTTTGAAAAAAAACATGTTTTTCTTAGTATTTGATACTAAATTTTGCAAATAAATATACTTTCTTCATAAATTTAGGCCAAAATCCATTGTGCTACATTTTGTTGGTAGACATAACCCAAATCAGTGTGTATTATTTAGTCTTTGTGAAAGTTATAGAGTCCACAGACCACGGTATATATATTTGATATATTTGAAAATGTATCAATCCTGATGCACGGACTACCTATATAATTTCTTGGGGCCCTAAAATGCCAGGACAGTACAAATACCCCCCAAACGACCCCTTTTTGGAAAGTAGACAGTCTGAGGTATTTAATGAGAGGCATGGGGAGTTTTTTGAAGTTGTCATTTTTTGCCAATTTTTTAAGGAAATGATGAAAGTAAAAAAAATTATTTTTTTTTTTTTTCACAAAGTTGTCATTTAACAAGTTCTTTCTCTCACACGGCATAGGCATACTTGCAATTACACCCCAAAACACATTCTGCTACTCATCCTGAGTATGGCGATACCACATGTGTAAAACTTTTTCACAGCCTAACCACATAGAAGGGCCCCACATCCAATAAGCACCCTTAGGCGTTCTAGGGGCAAAAATTACACATCTAATTTCTTGACTGTCTATCACAGTTTTGGAGGTCCTGGAGCACCAGGACAATTGAATTACCCACAAAATGACCCCATTTTCGAAAGAAAACACCTCAAGGTATGTTTTAAGAGGCATGGGGAGTCCTCTGAAGACTTCATTTTTTGCCACATGTTTTTGGAAAATGTGAAAAGAAAATGAAAATGTATTATTTTTTTTTACGCAAAGTTGTCAATCTATGAGATATTTCTATTACACAGCATAGGCATACTTAAAATGATACCTCAAAACGCATTCTTTAACTCCTGCTGAATATGGCGATACCAAATGTGTGAGACTTTTTCACAGTCTGGCCACATAGAGGGGTTCCACATCCAATAAGCACCTGTTAGCGTTCTAAGGGCAAAAATTACACATCTAATTTCTTGACTACCTATTGCCGTTTTGGAGGTCCTGGAGCATCAGGGCAATGGAATTATCCACAAAATGACCCCATTTTGGAAAACAAACACCCCAAGGTATGTTTTAAGAGGCATGCAGAGTCTTCTGAAGACTTCATTTTTTGCCACAAGTTTTTGGAAAATGCGAAAAGAAAATGAAAATGTATTTTTTTCTACACAAAGTTGTCAATCTATGAGATATTTCTAATACACTGCATAGGCATACTTAAAATTACACCCCAAAACACATTCTCTAACTCTTCCTGAATATATGGTGATACCAAATGTGTGAGACTTTTTCACAGTCTGGCCACATAGAGGGGTTCCACATCCAATAAGCACCTGTTAGCGTTCTAAGGGCAAAGATCGCACATCTAATTTCTTAACTACCTATTGCTGTTTTGGAGGTCCTGGAGCATCAGGACAATGGAATTATCCATAAAAAGACCCCATTTTGGAAAGCAAACACCCCAAGGTATGTTTTAAGTTCTCCGTCACTCTCATCTGTCATACTCAGAATTTGAAATGCCTCCTCGCTTGTATATGATCTTTTGGCCATATTTTTGACACTGATCAGGACCCACTGGTATGGCAGTGATCAGGATGGTGTTGCAGTGAGGGACAGATATCTGGCTGCAGTTGGTTCACACTAGTCACTATTGGGCAAAAATCAGAGATACAGTGAGGTGGCTGGCAATGTTTTGTGAGTGTGTGTAAACTCTGTGCAAAGGCTGAAAATTACTCACAGTTAGCTGTACTGGATCTCTCTCCTCACAGACGATGGCAGTGAACAGGATCCACTGGTGTGGCAGAGATCAGGGACACTTTATGAACAGGCACACTGTAAGGTGATCAGGGACACTGATTGGGCCACTGTATGGTGATCAGGGACACTGCTGGGCCACTGCGGTGATCAGGGACACTGCTGGGCCACTTGTGTGGCGATCAGGGACACTGTGGCAATCAGGGACACTGTGGCGATCAGGGACACTGCTGGACCACTTGTGCGGACACCATGGATGACACTGCTGGGCCACTGTGGATGATCAGGACACTGCTGGGCCACTTGTGTGCTGGACGATCAGGGAAACACTGCTGGGGTGATCACTGCGGTGATCAGGGGGCCACACTGCGGTGATCAGGGGCACTGCTGGACCACTTGTCCGGCGATCAGGGACACTGCTGGCCACTTGTGTGGTGATCAGGGACACTGCTGGGCCACTTGTGTGGTGATCTGGGCCACTGCATCAGCAATCAGGGACACTGCGGTGATCAGGGACACTGCTGGACCACTTGTGCCAATCGGGGACACTGCGGGCACTGATCTGGGACACTGCTGGGCCACTGATCAGGGACACTGCTGTTGGACCACTTCTGCGGCGATCAGGGACACTGCTGGGCCACTGCGCTGGGCCATGATCAGGACACTGCTGGGGTGTCACTGCTGTGTGGGCAATCAGAAACACTGCTGGACAGGAACTGCGGTGATCAGGGACACTGCTCGGTGATCAGGGATCAGGGACACTGCTGGACCACTTATCCGGCGATCAGGGACACTGCTGGGCCACTTGTGTGGTGATCAATCAGGGCCACTGGGCGATCAGGGACACTGCTGGGCCACTGTGGGGATCAGGGACACTGCTGGGCCAATTGTGTGGTGATCAGGGACACTGCTGGGCCACTGCGGTGATCAGGGACACTGCTGGGCCACTTGTTGTGTGGTGATCAGGAACACTGCTGGGCCACTACGGCAATCAGGGACACTGGGACACTGCTGGTGATCAGGGACACTGCAGGGACACTGCTGGCCACTTGTGTGGCAATCGGGGACACATGCTGGGTTACTTGTGCGGCGAATCAGGGACACTGCAGGGGCACAGGGACACTGCTGGGCCACTGCGGCAATCAGGGCCACTGCGGCGATCAGGGACACTGCTGGGCCACTTGTGTGGTGATCAGGGACACTGCTGGGCCAATGTGGGGCGATCAGGGACACTGCTGGGGGCGATCAGGGACACTTGTTGGCGATCAGGGACCACTTGTGGGCGATCAGGGACACACTTGGGGGATACAATCAGGGACACTTGGGGTTGGGCAATCAGGGCCACTTGGGGCGATCAGGGACACTTGGGGCGGCAATCAGGGACACTTGCCACTTGTGGGGGCGATCAGGGACACTTGTGGGGGCAATCAGGGACACTTGTGGGGGCGATCATCAGGGACACTTGACACTTGTTCAGGGACACTTGGGGGCGATCAGGGACACTTTTGGGGTGATCAGGGACACTTTAGGGGGCGATCAGGGACACTTTAGGGGCGATCAGGGACACTTTAGGGGCGATCAGGGGACCACTTTAGGGGCGATCAGGTGTCACTGAGGTGGAGGGCAGTTAGCTACAACCCTCTTCTTCGCTGTTTCTCCTCTCACAGACAACTCCGTGAGAGGAGAAGGAGGCGGAAGCCGCACCATGTGGCTTTTGTTTACACTTAAGCTGTGTCCTTATTGGACACAGCTGATCACATGGTATGGGACCGATTTCATTGGTCCCATACCATGTCACGTAATCCACCGTGTCCGTCGGACTCGGCGATCATCGGGCTCGCGGGTGCGCGCTCTAGGAGCCGCGCACGAGCCTCAGATACAAGGTGCCGTTTAGAGACGGCAACCCGCTCCTGTAGGTGTCCCGTCCTGCCGTTTATAAACAGCGGCCGGACGGGAAGTGGTTAATAAGTGAGTCAAAAATTGAAGTGCCACACCATGACACTGTAGTCCAGATAAAAATTAATGCCAGCGTAAAATCAGATAAAAAAGTGCATACAGAGCCAACATGTTTCGGGGGCTAAGCCTTGCTCTCTTCATCTGGGTTTGAAACATGGTGAATGGTGTGACTTGGTAGTGGTTACTTAGTTAAAAAGTTCACCTCTGAAAGAAAATTGCCTAAGCAGTCAAGGGGGCCCAGTAAAGACAAGCTCTGCAGCTTTCAAAAATGTTGTATAATATAATTTCCACACCTGTGGACCATATGCATAACCCCACAGAAACCTGGCTGAAAAACTCCTATAGATAGCTTTGCCCTGTCCTGTCACTAAGATGCTGCAACCGATAGATGCTCACACTCAGCATCACAGCAGCGAGCGTTTTTCTTGGTATAAAGAGAGCTGCAACTACCTTGCAGTTGATATGAACAGTTATGTCTCTATCTCTACAGCCTCAGCTGCACAAAATGAATAGACAGGAACAGCTATGTAAAGAGCTTCCCATTCACTCACAAACTGAAGCATAGTAAACACAGTTTATAAATGAGTTAGTGATCCAAACCAATCACTAACGCTGTCCATTCAGAAAAGGAAGGGCCAGTAAATACCGTTTACCAGCCCCTTCTCTGCTCTCCATCCTGAAAGCATCCCTTGCAGCAGCTGACAAGAGAGGGGAAGCCGGCAGAGCTGCAGGGGACAAGGAGGGGCCAAGAGAGTACACAGGGGCCCAGGAGCAGCAGGACCTGGATAAAAGGGGCGGTGGGGTAGGACCGGATAAAAGGGGAGGTGGGGGCAGCATATAGAGGAACTGATCCCCTCCATTTTCCACCTGCAGCCACTGAATCCCTGCAGGAGGGAGAGAAGAAGAAGAAGCAGGCTTTCAGTGCCTTCAGGACTAAAATGAAGGGCATTGGTTCTATATGCCAAACCCACCTCCCCTCCTATCCAGGTGTAAAGGGGAGCTGCATGGGGCCAGGTTGCAATTGCGCCCACTGTAGCTATACCCCTGATCACAGTGGGGGATGGGGGGGGGGGTGTAACATGTCTGTATTCAAGTGGTTGTCTTATAAAATGTTGGTGTTACAGGGTATCCTGCATGCGTGCACCAATACATACCTTACTGAACCAGTGAGGGCTTTTCTTCTTTGCAAGGGAGAGTGTTGTACCAAAACCTGCGAGCATTCCTGCTGTTGCAACAGTGCCAAGAAAAATTCCTCCTGTTATAAAAAAAATAAAAACTGGATATAATATACTATATGAAATTATGCTTCAGAATCATTTGTATTTCCAGAAAATTTCATGTCAGACTAGGTTTAGGCCTTTGTCTGTATAGCTGCTGCATTTCCATTGAGTAAAGCCAGCCACAGATGGATCGAATCTCAACCAGTTTAATCCATCTACGGGCAGGCTGGTTGTACTGAAGTCAATTCATCAATCGACTTCAGTACAACCAGCCTGTCAGATTTATTTTCCATGCGATCACTGCTGGCAGCTATAGCCACCAGCAGTGATCATTGTTTTCTGCCAGCAGGGAAGACTCCCTGCCAGCAGAACACAATACCACTGCGGGAGAGATTCCCCCCATCAACACTGACTGTGATTTTCTTTCCTTCCACCCGTGCAGTATGTTATTCCCACTGGAAAACAACATTTCCTGTCACATAATTTTAACCCCAATCCGAAGCAATACCAGCATTTAGGGACGGATATGTACCTCTGGACACAGAAAGGGTAACTTAAGAAAAGTGGAGCAGTTGTGCATGGCAACCAATCAGCTTCCATCTTCACCTTGTTTAGTTAAGCTTTAAAAATTAAAGATAGAAGCTGATTGGTTGCCATGCACTGCTGCTCCAGATTATGTCTGCTCGAGTTTTCATAAATTCCCATGCAGACTGTTGTCTGCAGTCCAGGGGTGCGTATCTGTCTCTAACCGCAGATAAGCATTCCATGTGACTGATCGGAAACACCTGGCCGTACTTATCGCAAAAATACACTGAAATGGGTGGTGTAAGACTCTAAACAGCTGTGTACATGAGCCCTTATGCAGGCCATACATGGATCGAATTCCAAACAAATTTTCTTTAGAAAATCTGAATTTTCGTACATTTTGTAATCCAATGGTGCCACCACTGATTTCAAAATTCGACCAACCAAGCCTTCAATTTCACCTCGTGTTGCTACAGAAAAGAATTTTCGTGGCCAAGAATTTTTTTTTTCCAGGTCACAGCTCATGCTCATTTCTTTGTTGCTTATATTTCCCGCACGATTCTCTCATCATTGATTCGAAATTTGTTTGTTTTTCAAAAAATTTGCAGCATGCCCAATCACTCATATTTGATGGTCACATGAAAATTGGCCATTTATGTGACCCACTAATAGTGCGAAATTCAAATGAAAATTCTTAGAAAAGATTTTCCACAGAAAATTCTTTCAGAATTCGACCCATGTATGGCCGGCTTTAGGCTAGGGTCACAACTCACGTGTTAAAGCTGAACTTAACTCTCTCAATCAACATTGACTATTTTCACCCTAATAGAAGCGGTAATCGAGTGCTGGGAACAATATATAAGCTGCTAGCATAAAATGCAACCTCTAAAACCCAATATAAGAAACATAAATATGTAAATATGCAGCGCTAATAATTAGAATAAAATCAAATAAATAAAAGATTGCACAATATCATATTACAGTAGCTGAGTCCATTAGTAGTGGTACAGTAAAGTGTGTATGTGCAAACATTCATAAATCTGCAATAGAGGAAAATCTGTGACTTTTGTGCTCGTGAAGATGGACAAACTTTGCACTAACCAGATAGCGCAATTAATGCGCATGGAGCAAATAAGACCTGCTCCTGGTACTCTGGACATGTAATACCATAAGAATAGGTGTCATCAGCGTGTAGGCCACTAGGTGTCATCCATCTAGGTATACCCTCTAGTCTTCAAATATGCCAATCACAGCCACCAGGGGGAGGATCACACACCAATCCAGGTCACAGAGAACCTTCAAAAACGGGCTCCCAAGGAAATGACGAGCCCAGAGAAAGCTTCCAATAGTGCAGTAGGTCTTTAATTCACAAAAATCCAGCATATACAGATTAAAACACGAACTTACATCCGAATCCAATATGGCCGCCGGGTGTCATTCAGGATGGCCTTGCGGTGTATGCACAGTAGTCAGGGGCACCTCCCTAACGCGTTTTGTGTCCTTACACTTCCTCAGAGGGGCTCTCAATCAACATGGACTATTTTCACCCTTATTCTGCTAGCATTAGTAAATAGTTAGGAAAGTATATTATATTTACATGTCTTAAACTTTTTTTTTTTTAATTTCTTCAGATACATCCTGGTGTCCAGGCCTAAGCAAATTATATCATACGTCCCAGGAGTCTGCAGGAGGGGTTCTCTCAGCTAAGCACATCCTCCTGCCTGCATGCCTGAGCTAAGGGCAGATGGATTTGAAGAAGTAAATGCTCCATGAATCATTTGCCCTTACTCAAGATGGCCACTGCCAGAAATGCTAAGGGTGTTTTTCAAAGTGATTTATCAGCAAAAGAAAGCATGGAGACATGAATGGATAGGCGAGTTTGCTTTGAATATTAAAAATGTATTAGATAGTGTAGTTCTGCTTCAATGTGTATATATTCATATGAACAAGCTGCCTAGTGCCGCATAATGCACTAAAAAGGTTTGTGTACTTTTTTACAGAATGCAGCGTTCCACAATGTATGGTAGTGCGTTAGGGCTCAATCACACGGGTGCTCAGCCCTGTACAGTGTGAGCAGCCTTTTGTTTATTTCTCTATCCTAGCTGAGCTGTGTGCAGGCCACCCATCTTAGTGAATGGACACAGCGATCACAGAGCATGTCCAATGTGCGCCAAGGGGCACACAGCAGGCGGGTTTCTGGGAGGATGTCCTCCCAGAACTGAAGGACCGTGCTGTAGCTGTCTTTCAGGTATAGCATGGTTGGGAGGTGGGTTAACAGCACTGCAAGCGCAACGCACGTTTGTAGCGCATTTCTGTAACACATGGAAAAAATGCTAATTTTATGTGCTCTTTTTTTTGCACATTTCAGAAACACTAAGTGTGAATGGAGCCTTAGGGCCGGTTCAGACATGAAGCGCACAGGAACACAGTCTGCACGCCTGTGCAGCGCGACTTTCAGCCCATTCACTTGAATAGGTTAAAATTGCACTGTGTCGCACCAAAAGTAGCACATGCACTACTTATTAAAAATGCACTGCTCCAAATCGGTACTATGTGATCTGGTGCAGGCAAACGCACTGCATTTGCCATCAGCATTTGGGGTGTTAAAGGAGAAGTACAGTCAAAGCTCATTTGCAGTTTGTTCTGATAAAGTCCGCTGTTGGCTGATGCCACTCAGCCGGTCCAGGCTGGAAAAAGAGCCCAACCGCATAGTCGGGATCAACCCAGGAGCCTGGTTCGGCACCTGGCTCAGCGATCCGCCGAGAGCCCGAGCCAGCTGCTCCTGCCCCCTCCACAGCCCAGTGAGTGCAGGACATGCAGAGTAGAGATTAGGAGACTGACATTCCTGGCTCTCTGTTCAGAGCGGCGGGGGGGGGGGGGGGGGGGGGGGGGGGGATCTGAGCGATCAATGGTGTCTAAACGCTCTGTTCTCGCACTCAGAGCCGGCAGGGGACAGATCCAGCATCCACCTAGGTGACTATAATTGAAAAAAAGAAAACCCATACTTCTCTTTTAACCTCTTGGCGTCGAGCGTATGCAAATTAGCGGCCCCACTGGACTGGGCTTTATTCCGTGGGGCCGCTAACTTGCGTACCTGTCTTTGTGCACATGGCGTGCTCCCAGCACAAAGACCAGGGTGTCAGTGAGAGCCCTGAGTCCCGTTCTAATGATCGGGTCCTCGAACTCCCGATTCCGGGTCACATGATCGCTGTGAAAGCCTCTGATTCAATATCACAGTGATCTGTCACTGTCGCCCCCCTTGTTTTCTCCCCCTGAATGGAGGAGAGAGATACATTGTATCACTCTGTCCTTTCAGTGAGAAAAAAAGTGTTTGTAAAAATAAATACATAAATAAAAATAATAATAAAAAAATTAATAAAAATACCTAGATCAAGGTTTGATCTAAGTCAGTGCCAGGGTTAGTGTTTGGGACAAGGTCAGGATTTTTTAAAATGATTTTTAAATTAGTATCAGTGTCAGTTAATAGCTGGATAATAAAAAATAAAAAAAAATGCTTACTATTGTTTCTGGGCGGTGCTACGGGTACAAACAACACTTAACAGACACATATGTGGTATCGCTGCGATCGTCAGAAGCAGGAGGAATTATTTTGGGTTGATTTGGGTGGTTGGTTATGGTAGTAGCAAGAAATATACAGCTTCAAAAAAAAAAAAAAGTTTCTTTTAGTATTTTGGGTCAGTTTTTTCCTTTGATAACAAAACAAAATCAGGAGCTATCCATTACCATTTACCACCAAATGAAAGCCCAATTTGTCCTTAGGCGTGAAGGAGTTAATATAGACACCCGCAGCAGATCGCACGGCTGTGTTGTGAGCAGTGTGGGAAACGTTCATGGCACATGCCTTTCTCACGATGCATTCTGCTATGAACCGGCTCGTATATACTGAACTCAGCGGCTAGACCAGGGGTGGGCAAACTTTTTGACTTGAGGGCCGCAATGGGTTCATATATTGGACCCGGGGGCCGGACCAAGAGTAGATGAATGATGTGTAGTACTATTCCCCCCCAAGTAGTAAGCCAAGTCCCCCGTGTCAATTTACTTACCTTTGCTCCGCACGTTCCTCTCGCCGTGTTCCCGCGCCGTTCCGGTCTTCAGGGCGGACTGTGAGAGGAGCCTAGCTCCCCTCACCTCGTCACGCTGCCCCGCCTACACACATCCTGACAGCCAATCACTGGCTATCAAGATGTGAGTGGCAGCGAGACTGGCCAATCATTGCATTTGAGCGCGCTGAATGATGCAAATGTTTGCCTGCCCTGGCTGGTTTTTTTTTTTGTATCACGCTCCGCGGGCCGGATTAAAAGGTCCGCCGGGCCGTAGTTTGCCCATTGCTGGGCTAGACTCATCCACCTCACCACCCGCTCCACCTCTGCCACCCCCCTCTGCCTCTCCCTCCACTGGCTCCCGATTGCCCAACGCATCAAATTTAAACTTCTAACCCTGACCTACAAAGCCGT